CATGCTGGCTGAGGAATTCTGGGAGTTGAAGTCCACAAGTCACGAAGGGGCCATAGTTCCCCCATGCTGGCTGAGGAATTCTGGGAGTTGAAGTCCACAAGTCACGAAGGGGCCATAGTTCCCCCATGCTGGCTGAGGAATTCTGGGAGTTGAAGTCCACAAGTCACGAAGGGGCCCTAGTTCCCCCATGCCTGGCTGAGGAATTCTGGGAGTTGAAGTCCGCAGGTCATAAAAGGGCCAAGTTTGAAGACCCATGGTTTAGGTAATGCCTAAATTGGGTTAGGTAATGTCTAGCCTGAAAAAACTGTTTTCTTCCTCCTTTTTTCCAAAATCCTTCTATAACCAGTGTTTACTGCAATGATTCAGCCTTGCCTAAAGCCATTAGTGGAAAAAAAAATCTAATAATCTTTTATAGTAAGGGCTACTGGAACAGTCAGGCTTTTCCAGGAGAAAGATGGAGACTCCATATTTCTGCAAAAAAAAGCAGTTTTGGATTCAGACCAAGTCTTTCTGTGCTGTCTAACTTTCCATATTTAACCAGGTTAGTTGCTGGCTGGGTTCAGCCTATGGGATGAGCAACCATGAAGCGATCAACAGTGGAGATCAACAGTGTTGCAGAAGCCATGATCGAGTTCTCCCAATCCTGCAGTAGATTGAAATTTGGAAGAATTAGGAAGAAGTTTCTGTCTCTTGAAAGACCTGTTTCTCCTTTTATTTTTGTTTTTATTTTTTTGTTTCGTTCGGCACGACTCTCTTAAAAGATTTAATTAGACTGTCAAGGTTTCAACCGAACGCAAGCAGGATTTTGCTCAAGGAAAGGTGAGGTGCGTTGTGTGCCTCTTAATTGCCAGAACCAAAGTACAGAAATGACCATAATTAGCCATTTCTTTGTGCCGTTGAAAATTTGCATCTCTAATAACGCCACCTGCGTGAGACAACAGGCTCCTTAATTAGAAACCCTGCGTGGCGCACAGCATCGAGACGCAACATGTTAACAATTCCAGCCGCCTCTTTTTATCCTTATTAAAGTTAGAAGGAAGATCACCCTTGATGTCCACGTCTGCAAGGCTTCTTTTATCTTCCTACCTGGCCAGAATGTGCTCGTAAATGGAATCAGCTCATTTCTAACATCCCCAGCATTTTTCGCTTGGGTGGGTCATGTAATTAAAAAAGGGTACTGTAGAGTTATGGAAAGGAAGAGGACTTTTGTGTATCTGGGAGAAACTTCCAGCAAATGAGTCCAGAAGATGTGGGATGGTCTAAACCAGACATGTCAAACACAAGGCCCGGGGGCCGGATGCGGCCCGCGAAGTGATTTCATGTGGCCCGCGAAGCCATCCTGGAAACAGTGAGGGAACGGCCCCTGCTGTCTTGGCCCTGGCCCAGGCCGGCCAGGAGCCAATGTCCAATTTTGTGGTGGCCATCTATGCTGAAACACATTCAGTCTTAGCTCCACAAGGCTGTCTGGAAAGAGTGAGGAACCAGCCCCTGCCACGTCGCCCCCGTCCCCTGGGTGTATGCTGGGGAGGTGTCACCCTTTGTGAGGAATGAAGAAATGCACCATGCCTTGGCGCTTGCCCCGGTCCCACCCCCTTCTGCCAGAGACCCTCAGATCTGTCCCACTCCTGCCCAGGCCCCCACAGGCACCCTTGACGCGAACGATGTAGAGCTGGCCATGCCCACCCAGTAGGCCACACCCACTCCATCCACGCCCACCCAGTAGGCCGCACCCACCCTGGCCACACTCACCCGGCCCCCCCTAGGGCAACCACAATGCTGATGCGGCCCTCAATGAAATTGAGTTTGACACCCCTGTTCTAAACGTTCTACATGTGACACTTACGATGAATAGGTCATCCAGCTTCTTCTCATGAAGTAGTCCTATGTTTTGGTCCAAGGCTGGGAAAAAGTCCCTGTCTTCAAGGACAAAACAAAGTCCAGTTGCCTTTTGAAAAAGCACCTTTGGGATAACCTGGATGACTACCAGTCTCCATAGACAGATAAATTAGGCATTTTTTTAAGGCACCTCTTTGCCCTCTTTTGTCTTTTTCCACCCAAGTCTTCCCTGAGAGCTGAACTAGAATCCAGACTGTTGTGTTTTCATATCAGTTCATAAGTCAAGTCGGAGCTTTGATTTGATTTGAAAGCTTGATGAGAGAGAGAGAGAGAAGAAAAGCATTCTTTGGACCTGTCAAATTGATTGAAAGGCACTTATTCTTGATTAGATATCTCAGTCAGGAAAGCTGATCTGATGCAGGGACTCAGGGATATCCCATCTCCCAAGTTGAAATGTTGCCCATTCTGGAATCTAATGTCTTATCAGCACAGGAGTTAGTGGTCCCCATCCCACCACTCTACCTTTGCATAAAAGCAAAACCATATGGTGTAATTTTTTTGCCTTTCAAGATGCAAAATCTATTTTTAAAAAAAGCAAAATCAGAACCAAACCAATAAATACAATAACACACTGACAACTAGCGGAATGAATTTTAAATTTTGCGGGTCATTGACCGAATGAATATTATTGATGGATTGACTGATTTACTGATTGATTCCACTTCCTTTAGATTATGAAGGGAGTGGGAAGGTCTCAAAATAGCTGATAAACATCTGGATATAAAACTCAGTGGGACAGGGCCTACCCCACTGTTTTTGAGATTTTGAATAGGATTCTACAGCTGCATCAGGACAAGAAGCGATGGTTGGAAACTAATCAAGGAGAGAAGCAACCTAGAACTAAGGAGAAATTTCCTGACAGTGAGAACAATTAACCAGTGGGACAGCTTGCCTCCAGAAGTTGTGGGTCCTCCATCACTGGAGGTTTTTAAGAACTGGACAGTCACTTGGTGTAGGGTTTCCTGCCTGAGCAAGGGGTTGGACTAGAAGATCTCCAAAGTCCCTTCTATTATTCCATTATCTATTCTATTCATTTGAATTTAAATCTTCAACTTTTTGCTAATCTGGGCGCCCCTTTATATCATTATCTGGAAACATATGAGTATTCCCCCTCCCCTCTTCACACACACACACACACACACACACACACACATACACACACACACACACACAACCTTCAGAGTTCCTCAGTATGTATGCTTAACTCGGGCTAAAGATTATCCAGGACTGTTTACGCAATCTTGAAAGCCCATAAAGATGCAAACGATACGTTTAATCTGTAGCCATCTCAGCAGCCCCAGTGCCAAGTGAGTGGAAAACTAAAGATGGGGTTAGGCAATCTTACACAAAGATTAACCAAAGCCAAAATAAAAAATAAAAAAATAAAAAATCCATCAAGATCAGGCGATCAGCTTGACACCCCCCCCCCCCACACACACAACAAATTCTGCAGAGAAAAAGTCACGGCCGGTTAAGAGGCAGTTTTGAATTTCAGCTGACTTTTTTAACCTTTATTGCTTTCTGACTAAAAAGAATGCTGGAAGAGTTTGCAGCATTGCATGGTGGAGGGTTTTTCCACGACTCTCACCGGTTATGAGCCAAGCCTTTAATTATATTCTGCTACCCTGCCCTTGCATTCTTCTTTGAGTCATCTGCCCTCTCACTTCCCAGATCATCCAGGTTGCTGGGATATGGCTCCAATTGGAAAAGACTCTGATCTGTGGAGCAGTCTACCTCTAAATGTGTGGAAGGGTGTCTCCATCTCTGAAGGTTTTTTTTTTAAAGAAAGAAAGAAAGAAAGAAGGAAGGAAGGAAGGAAGGAAGGAAGAGAGGGAAGGAGAGGGAAGGGGAGGAAGGAAGGAAGGAAGGAAGGAAGGAAGGAAGGAAGGAAGGAAGGAAGGAAGGAAGGACAGTGTAGAAGAAGAGCAGGAAGAACTGGGGTCGGAGTCAGGCAAGTAATTAGCTTAGAGTCCTTACGTTCCCACAAGCAGTAGCAATAGCCCTTAGACTCATATATCTCTTCACAGTGCTTTACAACCCCTCTCTAAGCAGTTTACAGAGTCAGCATAGTGCCCCCCCAAAGATCTGGGTCCTCATTTTACCCACCTCAGAAGGAGGGAAGGCTGAGTCAACCTTGAACTAGTCAGGATCGAACTGGCGACAGTGAGCAGAGTTAGCCTGCAATAGTGAATTCTGAAGAAGAGACCGGACAGCCACTTGTCTGGAATGGTACAGGGTCTCCTGCTTAAGCAGGGGGTTGGACTAGAAGACCTCCGAGCTCCCTTCCCACTCTGTTGTTCTGTATTATTTTGTTTTATCTTGTATCTATACCCCCTTCTTGACCTGGAGAAGTTTCCACCTTTTCTATGAGGTGGCATAAGCATTCCTGTTTTTATTAGGTGGCGTGTGAGCACCTGAAGGCGTTTCTGACGTTAACTTAGGACCGCAATTTTGTGCTTTAGGTTGGTTTTCCTTTTAGGGCCCTTGTCTTGTTTATTTTTGGATTTCAAGCCTGGCGATTTTAGTTGGCTTTCCATTCAGATTCGCCTCTCATTTTGCTTTTCGCTTTTTTAAGTATCCCCAGAGGATACTAAGCTACCGGTAGCGAAAGCAATCCATTAATTTCCTGGGGAAAGGGAGATGATTGGTTACTGGGTGAATGATAATGGGCACAACTCTTTGGGGGAGGCCCCGTTTGACGGATGACCTCGAAGTGCTTAACATAGCAAATAAAAATAAATCAGAATATATGATCCCAGTCGGCTGCAGGCATGAAAACATGTCTACTGCTGTTTTCCTAAGAGTTCCTGCAGAATAAGAAGCTCGGCTGTGAAAGGGCAGATCTTCCCAGAATGTCCCAGTTTAGGACCATTCCTGAGTCATTGAGGAAACATCTCTGTGGCCATTCAGCCCTTCAGGGAGATCAAACTAGGAATCCAACGTCATGCAGGTTAGATGACTTTTATTGTAAAACAATATGTGTCAGCCTTGACTTATGACCTTCATTCAACCGGGAATTATAGTCCTAAGTCATTGCAGTCATAAGTTGAAGCATCAGATGACCAGATTTGAATTTACAGCTGCTTTTTTTACAACACTTGTTAGGTGGATGCAGTTGTTCAACAAATCCATTTTCCCCACTGGGTGTTTTTTGGTGGAAACCGAAAGTAACCGGCCGAAACCAGCAAAAGAAGAGTCACAAATTGCGGCCACGTGACTGCAGATCTTGCAAACAGCTGTAAAAGTGAGCCGGTGTGAGACAAGTGCCAGACATGTCATTATATGAACCTCGGGGTTCTGTGGTCATCATAAGTCTAAACACGGTTCTTAGCGAGGTCCGTTGTAAACCGGAACAACCGTTAAGCAAACGGTTGTACGTCAAGGACCACCTGTAGTAAACCTTGCACATCTGAAGGTGCTTCCCTCCTCCCTTTATCTTCATGAGAACTAAGAAGGCTCTTAGTGACCCTTGGGGACTCCCAGTCATGAGGACCCAGATTGTTGGGGCAACAGGCTGACTCTGTAAACCGCTTAGATAGGGCTGTAAAGCACTGTGAAGTGGTATATAAGTCTAAGGGCTCTTGTTATTTTCCTCCCTCCCTCCCTCCCTCCCTCCCTCCCTCCCTTCCTTCCTTCCTTCTTTCCTTCCAGTTAGAATGCAGTATTGCAGGCTAATTCTGCCCATTGCCAGGAGTTCGATCCTGACCAACTCAAGGTTGACTCAGCCTTCCATCCTTCCTAGGTCGGTAAAATGAGGACCCAGATTTTGGGGGGCAATATGCTTCTACATTGTAAACTGCCCAGTGAGTGCTTTAAAGAGTAGCATATAAGCCTAAATATTATTGCTATTGTTATTGCTCTTGTCTAAGACATTTTCTTATGTTACTTTCTTTTATCTTGACCATCATCTTGATAGTAACTCTTCTACCTGTTGCTCAAGGCCATTCTTGCTGCCTTCTCCAAGTTGCTTCCAAACTGTTGCCCCTTGGCTGATTCAGGCTGGGGGCAGAAGCCTCAACGTTCAACGTTGGCCATCCCTGTTGGGTTCTCGGGAAGCTTTGACAGATACCTGGAGCTGTCACTGGGGTGGACCACCTCATCTCTCCCCCGCCTCTCCCAAACTTTGCTGCCTGTTCAGTTAACTCAGGTTGAAAATTAGGCCACCTCTTACAACGCTCGAGACATGTTCTAGCAACGCCACCCGCCCGAGTGCGCCCGATCATGTTTTTTTTTAATGTCTAATCTATTTTTGTGCACGTCTCCAAGATGAAGCATGTCTTGGCCAGAACTAAGCAAATGCTCCAAGCAACTGTGAATTTTTGCCACTGAGAACTAAGAGTGAAACCTAGCAAACTCCTGGAGCTGTTGTTTTCTTTCAAGAAACAAAACAAAACAAAACAAAGAAGCGTTATGGTGTGTTTGTCTAACCTTAAACGCCCTCCCAAAATTTTTTAGCCTACTCAGCATATCAGCTTAATCTAATATGGGAAGTCTACATGCTCCTTCCAAGCCATTTCAGTGCCAATTGCTGGATGCCCTTTCATTTCTAATTTATTTATTTATTTATTTTTCACTTGGGATGAGTGGGTAAAATAGAAGAGAAAGCTGGGATCATCAAAAACCCCAAAGCTGGAAGTTCTTTCTCTCTCTTTTTTTTTTCTTTCTTTCTTTCCTGGAGCAGAAGAGTAATTAAATGGACCAAATTTGCATAATATTTTATAGCATTGGGGCGGGGAGGGAAAAAAGAAAGATTACACCAGAAGGAGTAATTAAAGGAATGTATAGCTAATGGCTCCAGTTTGAGGGTGAGATAGAATGTGCAAAGGGGGTGAAGTGTAAAAGCAAATTAGAATGCAAAATAAGCAGGCCGGGTCAGATTTTAATCCTTCCTTCCTTCCCTTTTTTTTTTTGTTCCTGTGATTCAGATTCCACACCTTTTTGCACCTGTATTACATTAATGGTGTGGTCACAGATGCTCTGTTGACTTTTTTGCCCCTCTTGCTATGAACATCCCAGAAGGATTAGGAGGGGGGACAGAGAAGAGGTCTTTAGGGATACTTGAGGGGCTATCACAGAGAAGACCCAAAGGTGCTTTTTCAGAAGACAATCAGACTTGGTTTTTCCCTTGAGACATTTTGCTTCCTTGAAGACCTTGAAGGCATTTTGCTTCTCATCCGAGATGCTCCAGAACTGAAGAACTGAATGTCTTCAAGGAGAAAAAGAGTCCAGTTGCCTTTTGAAAAAGCATCTTTGGGATAACCATGACCTGGATGACTGAGATTCTCCATAAATGTCAGAGAGAAGGAGTCAGTTTGTTCTCCGAAGCACTTCAGGGTGGAAGATCCAACTTAGAATTAAGGAGAAATTTCCTAATGGTGAGAACAATTAATCAGTGGAACGGCTTGCCTCCAGAAGTGGTGGGTGCTCTATCAGCAGATGTTTTCAAGAGTAGACTGGACAACCACTTGACTGGGATGGTGTAAGATCTCCTGCCTTGAGCAGGGGATTGGAGTAGAAGACCTTGGAGGTCCCTTCCATCCAATTGATTCTATGTTCTGCGATCGCTTTCTCCCCCTTTCCATACCAGACTGAAAGAAAAATCAACATATTCATGCTTAAATCAATGCTCTCTCTATATATATACACTGATTGAAGCATAAATAAACATTAAGCATATCTCCCCAGATGGGTAATTTTCCAAGTTAACATTGCTAGGTGTCAGCCAAGCCATATGGTGCAGCTTTATGGGTTTTTTCCTGAATTTTTTCTCCTCTTTTCTTTTCCTAGCCATGAAGTCGGGAGGCACCCAGCTCAAACTCATCATGACATTCCAGAATTACGGACAGGCCTTGTTCAAGCCAATGAAGTAAGTCAGGAATCGTCTGTCTGTCTGTCTGTCTGTCTGTCTGTCTGTCTTACAAAATTACTTGAGCAGTCTCTCTGGCTATGAATAAATAACCAACAGTGGACAACCACGAGTTTGCATCCACCAAAAATGGAAGTATTTGCATGTATTGATCAGGCATAATTGTCTTTTTGAACTTGAAACACAACTGTTGGCAGAATGACCTCCTCATTTGAGAGAGGACTTCAGGCTTGTTGGCCACCTTCATCCCAACCGGAGGAAGCTACATGGCTCAAGAAGGAAGACAAGTCTAATAATCCAATGGTCTTCTTGATCTTCAGTCTAACATCCAGGAGTGAGGGGTGGGAGATGTTTGGGTTTTCAGAATTGTCCAAACTACAAAGTCTACCTTTGTAGCAAAATGTGGACTTATCAACCATTTCTGGTCTCTGATGGACTCAGACTAGGGATCCGGGAACCAGCTTCTGCTTAGGGAGAACATTGGGTCATGGGTTCACACATGAGAACACATGAGAACATGTTCCTTGGGTCTGGGTTCACACGCAATGTTGGGTCATGAGATGGTTTGTTTGCTCTTGATTGAGGGAAATAGGTGAATTCAACCCTTGAATGTTTAAACCTGGCTTAGATTCTGCGTAAAGCAGGTTGTTCTGTCTTCTCAGCCAACTAGAGAATTGGTCTTCTAAATGGTCTTCAAAGGAGAAGAGAATCTTGGTGAGGTCCTTCAGGGTGAAGTGCTGTGTTCCTTCACCTTCTCAGCAACATGGTGGCCCAAAGGTTAGACTTCTGGTTTTCATCATACAGGGGTCTCCTCAAATAGGTAAAATCTCCATGGCTTCTCATGCTTCTGATAGATGCCAAGGGAAGACTTCTGCAGGAACTCTTCGTGGGTCCATTTTTTTCAGAGAAGTATAAGTAGCTAGGAGATGTCAGAGTGATAGCAAGGTGGTGTAGAACAGAAGACACCTCCAGTAGCATTTGTCTCCTCCACATCTTGAATTGATGTCTCTTTCTTCTGCCTTTGTATAATTTGTGATTGGCGTTAGAGGTGAATTAACACCAGTGAGGTTTTGAAGTTTGCAACATGCCCATCAAGGGCCATTTTTTGAAACAAGGCTTGTATTCCTGGAAATGCAGAGAGGGCAAGAGGAAGCACGCTGGGCAATAAAGGCGGTGGGCTGGCCTCTGTTCTGATTGCTCCCTGGGTGGGATTGCCCTTCCAAATTAGAGGATTAGAATAGCAATCAAAGAACAGGAATGGAGGGACAAGGCATGGTGTGTTTAGGTACACTTGGCAGGGAGGGAGAGAGGGAGGGAGGGAGGGTGGGGAAGGAAGGAAGGAAGGAAGGAAGGAAGGAAGGAAGGAAGGAAGGAGGAGATAGAGGAGGGAAGGAGGGAGGAAGGAAGGAAGGAAGGAAGGAAGGAGAAGATAGAGGAAGGAGGGACGGAGGAAGGAAGGAAAGAAAAAGAAAGAAGGAAGGAAGGAGAAGAGAGAGAGGGAGAGGGAGGAATGAAGGAAAGAAATAAAGAAGGGAGAGAGGAAAGAAAGGGAGGAAAGAAGGAAAGGAAGGAAGGAGGGAGGGAGGAAGAAGAAGAAGATAGGGAAGGAAGTGTGGGAGGGAGGAAGGAGAGAAAGGAAGGAAAAGGAAGGAGAGGTAGGGAAGGAAGGAAGGAGAGGAGGGAGGAAGGAAGGAAGGAAGGAAGGAAGGAAGGAAGGAGAAGATAGAGAAGGGAGAGAGGGAGAGAAGGAGGAATGAAGGAAAGAAATAAAGAAGAGAGAGGGAAGAAAGGGACGAAAGAAGGGAAGGAGGGAGGGTGGGAAGAAGGAAGGAAGGAAGGAGAAGATAGAGGAGGCAGGGAGGGAGGAAGGGAGGGAGGAAGGGAGAAGATAGAGGAAGGAGGGACAGAGGGATGGAGGAAGGAAGGAAAGAAAAAGAAAGAAGGAAGGAGAAGATAGAGAAGGGAGAGAGGGAGATAAGGAGGAATGAAGGAAAGAAATAAAGAAGAGAGAGGGAGGAAAGAAGGAAAAGAAGGAAGGAAGGAAGGAGGGAGAAGAAGATAGAGAAGGGAGCGTGGGAGGGAGGGAGGAGAGGAAGGAGGAAGGAGAAGGAAGGAAGGAAGGAAGGAAGGAAGGAAGGAAGGAAGGAAGAAAGGAGCGTTGTTCGTGCCGCATTTCAGCAAAGTCACTTAAGGCTCCCGAAGGCTTAACGGAGCCATTCAGAACTGGCATTAGTCATCCCCGGAATAATAAGCTTGTTCGCGTGCTTTGTTTCTGCTGCAGGAGAACAAAATTATTATTTCCTTTTAAGTGGTTCTGCAGAACTCAGGAGGGGGAAGAGAAGCGACTTTTGAGCACCTACTTAATATTCCATCTCTTGTGCCAAATAATAGGTGAATTTATTTCCTTGTCCCTAGCGAGGCCACTGGCAAACTCAGAAAAAAAAAAAAAAAAAAGAAAAATCAAAAATCGTATAACTAGCCGGAGCAGATATGTAGAACCATTCCGGCCCATCCTTGCTGGCTGGGGCTGCTGGGTGTTGTAGTACAGCAATATCAGCAGGCCAGGATGCTGGTTGAGCCCCCCCTTTCGAAGATGTGATTGTATGGGGAATGAGTTTTTTTTTTAAAAAATAAATAAATATCTTGATTGTTAAGGGTTGCTTTTAATGGATAGCAGCCTGCCAGAGTCCCACTCACGAGGAGGTAGCTACGGTATATAAATGGAATAAATCAATCAATAAACATTCTAGACAGCCAGGGGTTCTCCAGATGCGTCTCAGAAGACCAGCAGGGACCAAATATTTCCAAGAAAAAAAAAAACCCAGAAGTTGTTTGCAAGTGTCCTTGCTTGACCTGAAGATCTTTTCTTCCTGGCTTGGAAAAAGATAAACCTCTGTGCTGAAGGAACCGCACTCTGCACCCGATCAGCCAAAGCATTGGGGAAGCGAGCAGGGAAGGCTGCAAGTCGCGGCTGTAGGAGGTCTCGCTTAACGACCGTCATGATTCCCTTCACCGCCGTAGAAAAAAACAAAAGAGGTTGTAAAATCGGGGATGGTGATGCCTCGCGTAAGGACCGCACCCCTTAACAAAAAAAAAATCTTGGGCTCCCAGTTGTGTCCGTAAGCCGAGGACTATCTGAACGTTGGGGGGGGGGTTGGGGGGAATAATCTGCTTTTTCTGGTTGCGTTTTTCAAGATCGTAAATCCTTCTGAAAGCAGAGCAGGAAAAAAACAGGATCTTAGAAGACCTTTGCAGCGAGGGAAGCCAAGTTGGCAAAACTGTTCCCTTCTATTTGGAAGATCTATGTTTTCCTGCCCAAAATAACTGTCTATAAAAGGTTGGGGAGGGGTGGGGGAGTTATCCTGTTTTGTTTACAAGTCCCAACGCCCGTTGTAAATTCTGCGGCTAATCCGGTATGAATCCAGGCAAAGGAGAACCCTTTTGGACCACTCCAGAGGAGGTTTTTAACCTAGATGAAATGCATCTGGCAAAGAGAATAACAGAACAGAATAACAGAGTTGGAAGGGACCTTGGAGGTCATCTAGTCCAACCCCCTGCTCAGGCAGGAAACCCTATACCATTTCAGACAAATGGCGGTCCATTCTCTTCTTAAAAACTTCCAGTGTTGCAGCACCCACAACTTCTGGAGGCAGGTTGTTCCACTGGTTAATTGTCCTCACTGTCAGGAAGTTTCCAGGTTGCTTCTCTCCTTGGTTAGTTTCCATCCATTGCTTCTTGTCCTGCCTTCAAGTGCTTTGGAGAATAGCTTGACTCCCTCTTCTTTGGGGCAGCCCCTGAGATATTGGAACCCTGCTATCATGTCCCCCCTCGTCCTTCTCTTCATTAAACTAGACCTACCCAATTCCAGCAACCGTTCTTTCTATGTTTTGATCATTTTTTGTCCTCAAACGTCAAGGAAAGTGATGCTGTTCTGTTCCATAATTCCCACGCTTTCTCCAAACCAGATATATTTTCTGCTCCTTTGCATCTTCTGGGCAGCATCTCTCCCACACAAAGCCCGGACAAGACAAACAAACTATTGCACAGAGGTTTGGGAGGTGCATGTCTTCACCCACAGCCCAGGGAGGGGTAGTTTTTCCAGCACACCAAGTTTATTTTTAATTTTGCTTTCCCTTCCACTAACTTTTCTCCAAAGGAGAGACGGAGTACATGCATTGATGGAACCTATACACTGTTGGGTGCTTAGTTCTATGGAGGTTGTACAATCTCATCTTAAACCTTTGTCTGAAATGGTGTAGGATCTCCTGCTTGAGCAGGGGGTTGGACTAGAAGACCTCCAAGGTCCCTTCCAACTCTGTTATTCTGTTACTCCGTTCTCCTGGCCCTTCTCCATGGCCTCGCCCACATTGGACCCAGGAGAGCTGCTGCTGCCACCTCTTCTTCTTCTTCTTCTTCTTCTTCTTCTTCTTCTTCTTCTTCTTCTTCTTCTTCTTCTTCTTCTTCTTCTTCTTCTTCTTCTTCTTCTTCTTCTTCTTCTTCTTCTTCTTCTTCTTCTTCTTCTTCTTCTTCTTCTTCTTCTTCTTCTTCTTCTTCTNAATAAAAAAAAGCTACCCGGAGGAAGAAAAATAGAGAATCTATAATATAACATGAGCTACCTTGGAGGAAAAATAAAAAGGGCATATAAACAATGATGATCAAAATCAAGGGATGGTTTATCATTTTTATATATTAACATTAAGTGAAGGTCCCAAGCATTAACCATCATCTAGCCCAAATATATCTGTGAACAAGAGGCAGATACACCTCTTATTTCCATTTAATTTCTTTTTAATCCATGTATTTATTAGATGTAGAGCCCACTCAACTCCAACCGACTTTGAGCAGCTTATGTATAAAAGCAAGAACAGCAAGAATAAAAGCAAGAATTGCTGTCTGTGGAATTCTGGGAGTTGAAGTCCACATGCCTTAAAATGTCAAGGTTGAGAAACACTGGTCTAGGGTCTCCTGCTTGAGCAGGGGGTTGGACTAGAAGACCTCAA